TCGATCCCAGGACCCCGGGATCATGACCTGAGCCGAAGGCAGCCGCTTAACGACTGAGCCACCCAGGCTCCAGCTCTTTCATTCTTTTTTTTTTTTTTTTAACAATATGGTTTTAAAGGATTTCATTGAATAGACTTACCATGCTTAACCTAACCAGTCTACCACTGATGGACACCTGGGTTATTTGTAATGGTACATTATTATTAGCAGTGTTACATTGGACATAAGTCTTTGTGCCCATGTTACAACATACATATCTCGAAGGGGAATCACTGGGTCCAGGTGAATGCATTTATCATTTTGAGAGCTATCACCAGGTTGCCTTCCCTCAAGGTTATACTGATTGAGGCCTCTCCCAGCAGTGAAAAGTGTCTGTTTGCCCATCCCAATCAACACAGGTGTTATTAAGCTTTTTGATTTTGGTTATGCTAAGTAAAAAATGACACCTCGGTGTGATTCTGGTTTTGCATACTACTTAAACATTGCGTCAGTTACCAACATTTAAAAACTGAGGGTTTGCACTTCAGAATCTATGCTTTTTGTCTTTGTCATGAAGAATCTTACGGTCTGTTGTATTAGGTTTATGTGAGAATGTATCCTAGTGAGGCCAGGGGGCCACTTCCTTCCCACAGGTCTAGGCTCCTCAGTGTGCCCTGTCCCAGTAGACTCCGTGTTTATTTTTGTTCCTTTATTATTATATGTTGCTTGCTGGGCTTCCATAGATTTGAGTTTTCTAGAAAGAAACAGGCAAGTACAGAGTTGGGTTTTGAAGGATAAGTAGAAGAAGGGGAATGGGTTGCTCAAGGAAATCTGGTGTGAGGGAGTCTTGCCGGAGGGTTTGGAAGTTGGAGAAAAGTAGAGTTCTGGAGCTCATTTGCTTTGGCTGCAGTCGGAGGCTTCATAACAGAGGACCTGGGATGAGGGGTGACAGGCTTGGACTTGAGTCCACATTGACTCATCGTGGGGGCTGGACGCAGTATGAGTCATACTTTTGTAAGAGGTGTCCTGCACTCTGAGCGGCAAGAGACCAGGAGTGAAAGACTTCCGGCAGGAGAAACAGGGAAGGTTACAGATCCTACCACCCATGACTGCCCCCCTTCCCCCCAAGAGAACCAGAATTAACAGTCTGGGTGTGTGTGTGCATATTTGTTTCTCAGTGTTATTTTCCCATGTATGTATTATGTGTTATTTTTGTTAAAATATAGCATAATTGCATATCTTCTGCTTTATTTTCCCCCCTCCCCCTTCATCGCTTGGATCTTGCCTTGTCAGTGTGCGCATCTACCTATTCTTTTAATTAGCGCAGGGTGGGGCACCTGGGTGGCTCAGTCGGTTAAGCATCTGCCTTCGGCTCAGGTCATGATCTCAGGGTCCTGGGATCGAGTCCCGCATCAGGCTCCTGGCTCAGTGGGGAGTCTGCTTCTCCCTCTCCCTCTCCCCTTCTCTCCACTCATCCTCACTCTGTCTCTCTCTCTCAAATAAATAAAATCTTAAAAAAAAAATTAGTGCAGGTCCACTGTGCAGGGGGTTCCTCTCTGATGGGCATTTGGTCATTTTCAGGGTTTGCTTTCTTACTGCTGGGAGCATCCTTGTATCTTTCCTCTTGCTCACTTGTACCCGTACCAGAATTCATATACAATCCATCCCTCCAGGTAGACTTGCTAGATCAGAGGACCTGTTTCTATTTAAAAAGAAATTTCCACATTGACTTGGCTTTTTTCTTTGATATGGCCCAGTTTTTCCACCAGTAGGTAGCATTGCTGTGACCAGAGATAACGTTGACTTCAGTGAACTAGCTTCCTTTTTTGCGTTCTTTCTGACTTTAGATTTTATTTTTATTTTTAATTTTTAAAGATTTTATTATTTTTTTAAAGTAATCTCTACACCCACCATGGGGTGAGTGTACAGTTACTTACAACCCTGAGATCAAGAGTTGCATGCTTTACCAACTGAGCCAGCCAGGTGCCCCTGACTTTAGATTTCATATTCCCCTAGTTAAAGAAAAAAAAAATTCAGCCTCCTAGATATTCTTAGAACACAGAGCAAAATTTTCCCTTATACCTTCCTTTCCATGCTTTCCAGCATCCCTCCCCAGGCATCTAGGCTTATTAACAACTTGAGTTCCAAATCCTTCTAGACCTGCTGTCCAGTATGGTACACACTAGATCTATGTAGCTATTTTAATTAATTAATGGAATAACATTTAAATTTCACATTTTGAGTGCTCAACAGCCACACGGCTACGGCCACTATGTGAGACCATGCAGATGGAGAACATTTCCGTCACTGCAGAAATGCATCCGACAGTGCTGCTCTGGACTGGGGTTCTCAGACTCAGGACTGTTGACATTTGGGGCTGGGTAATCCTCGGTATGGGGCTGTCCTGGGCACTGTAGGATGTTGGGCCTCTACCCACGAGATGCCAGGAGTCCCTCCCTGCTCCTGCAGTTGTGACAACCAAGCATCTCTCTAGACATTGCCAAGTGTCCTCAGGGCAGGGGGCAAATCCCCGCCCCCCCAGCCCTTCCCTTCCATTGAGAACCACTGCTCTAGATTACCTTTTTTTTTTTCCATGTTACTTTTAATTTTTCTTTAAATTCTTCCTGGATCTTCCCAGTATCAAGACAGACCCAATAGCTTCTGGACTCAGGCTTCAGGAAGGTTCAGCACACCATGGGGGCAATTCAACAAGTATTTACCGACTGCTTGCTGATTGTGGTTACACCCAGAGCAGAGATGATTATTTCCTTGGAGGCCAGCTCCTTGTTACAGTAGTTACCTTTTCCAGAAACATCGTTCCCTTGGCGCTTCCGCCTGTAATACTTGCTCTCCCTTGCCTTTCAGCCAGATTGTGTGAAACCACCACACATCTGGTCAGCAGGCTGCCCACCATCAAAACCTTTGTTTGTTTTAGAGTCAAATCATAAGAAAATTTACTTTGATTTTCCTTTGTTTAAATGGTCAAGCTAGAAGCAGTGTACACTAAATTATTTCTGGCCTTACGTCTTAACCTTGTTGAATAGCTGTTGCTATCAATAGATAAGAACATTGTTTTATGTTTTCTTATCTGGAAAAAAAAAACCCTTTTTTTTTTTTTTTTAAAGATTTATTTGACACAAAGAGAAAGCACAAGTAGGCAGAGGGGCAGGCAGAAAGAGAGGGAGAAGCAGGCTCGCCACTGAGCAGGGAGCCCGACGTGGGGCTCGATCCCAGGTCCCGGGGATCATGACCTGAGCTGAAGGCAGCCGCTTAACCGACTGAGCCACCCAGGTGCCCCTGGAAAAAAAAATTAAGAGAAATATATGTACTATTAATTGAATGCCTGTCGTGTGCTGTGTATTCATATGCCTTTCCTATATAAATTCCTTCATCCTCATAGAAATTCAGCAAGGCAGGTCTTACTGTCATTTTATAGACAGAAAAAGTGGCATCACAAAAGATGAGTAGCCCAAAGCCACATAGCCAGTGCGGAGCCAGGCTGGGCTTGGCGCCCAAGTCCATCTGACTTAAAAGCTGGTGTTCCCCCCCTTTTTTTTTTTTAAAGATTTATTTATTTATTTGATAGAGACAGACAGCAAGAGAGGGAACACAGGCAGGGGGAGCGGGAGAGGGAGAAGCAGGCTTCCCACGGAGCAGAGGGCCTGATGTGGGGCTTGATCCCAGGACTCTGGGATCATGACCTGAGCCGAAGGCAGACGCTTAACGACTGAGCCACCCAGGTGCCCCAAAAGCTGGTGTTCCTTACTCTACCCGTACCCGTTATGGCCCTGCTATTTCGAAACTATGGCTCTCATCTGTTATTTCTTCATTAGTTTCTCATTTTTTAAAGATTTTATTTATTGGGGCGCCTGGGTGGCTCAGTCGTTAAGCGTCTGCCTTCGGCTCGGGTCATGATCCCAGGGTCTTGGGATCGAACCCCGCATCGGGCTCCCTGCTCGGCGGGAAGCCTGCTTCTCCCTGTCCCACTCCCCCTGCTTGTGTTCCCTCTCTCGCTGTGTCTCTCTCTGTCAAAGAAATAAATAAAATCTTTGAAGAAAAAAAACCACTTAAAAAAAAAGATTTTATTTATTAGCGAGCGAGCACGAGCAGGGGGGAGGGG